GTACTAGACGTAAGGACTACGAAGGGTGCGATTTATGCGAAGTTAGACGGTCAATTTACCTATCAGACTTTTGCGTAAGCTATTCTTTTAGATTCTGGTTCTGTAGTATTATAGGCAAGGATTGGTACAAAAATACTTATTAAATATGGCCTCGTTTTGGATAATACTGAATCTATTACTGTCGCTGATGCTAGAGGACAAAAAATGAAATCATTAGGAATTATTCATCTACCTATTGTGTGTGCTGTAATAAAAACTCATGTCATACCTTCTATTGAAATCCCTTTTTTATTCGGCATTGATTTTTGGTCTGCTTTTAATATTTTTCCAAATGCATTGTCTAATACTGAATTCATACATTTAAAAGATTCTCCTGTTTCGAGTTTCTCCCAAGGTCGGAATTCAATGTTATGATAATCTTACTGAACCTCAAAATCAGTAACACAAAGGTAGGCAGAACTAATTCAATTACACATAAAATCGACACAGGCAACACTGCTCCTATAAAACAATGGTACTACCGTATGTCTCCGGATAAGCAAAAAAAGGTTGATGAAATGCTGGTATTAGAAGTGATTGAAGCTTGTGAAAGCCCATGGCCCTCACCTGTACTTATTGTGAATAAAAAAGACAGGATATCTAGATTTTGTGTAGATAGTAGAAAATTAAATTCAGTTACTAAAAAAGATGCGTATAGTTTACCTTACGTCTCTGAAATATAAGATAAACTAAATGAGGCTAAATACATAACTAAAATTGATCTTTCTAAAGCATTTCGGCAGGTACCTATTGATCCTTCTAATCGAGGAAAAACAGCATTTTACGTTTATGTTTAAAGTTATGGCTTTTGGTTTAGCTAATGCACCTGCTACTCAACAATGCTTAGTTGATATTTTATTTGGGCCTGAATTTGAAAAGAAAGTGTTCTGTTATTTAGATGATGTTATCATTGTAAGTGGACAATTTCAAGAGAATGTTGACCTCGAAAAGTTCTCAATAAACTTCAACTGGTAAATTTGACTATCAACCTCAGTAAATGCCATTTCTTTTCTAACAAAATGCACTATTTGGGCTATGTTGTTGATAAACAAGTTCTACATATAGTCTTATTAGATCCCACTGCTTGATCCTGCAGGTATTTGTTTTTTTGAAATTAATTGCAAATGAAAGTTAAGGAAGTATACAATAGATTAGCGATAGGTTGCCTATTAAAAATTAGCTGCAATTACCTGTAATTAATTTTTGTATAATTACTTTGGAAATGTATATTGCAGCTCTATTTATTTTTAATAAATTTTATGTCATTTCATTAAAATACTGTGGAGAATAGAAAAAGAAATGGTTGCCAGCTCTCAGTCAGCCGCTACGCCAGGGTTGCCAGGTGTAAACAAGTATATTACTGTTGATAATTTACAGTCATCTGTTTTTTTAAAGATTCAAATGCAAAATTAATGTTTTATTATTCCTGTGTACAATGATCCATGGTTGCCAGTTAAAAAATGGCCGCAAGTAGAGGTTGCCATGATTTCAATCAACGATTCAGATACAAAGCTTTTCTGGCATTAATATCATTATTAGTTAAATCTCCAATTTTACCTAACCTTGTTCCAACTTTTTATTTTCATACTTATGCCAGTAATTTTGGTGTAGATGCTATGCTTTGTCAAACAGATGATGGCATTGAGCATCCTATTGCCTATATGAGCAAAACTATATCTGGTGCTGAGCGGAACAATAGTGTGATTGAGAGAGAGGCTTTAGCCGTTCTACCTGCATTAGAACATTGGCATTATTACTTCTACACACACAACCACTCACCCACACAACCACACATATATAGGTGTTGCTATCTCACTGATGTCTGCCAATCAGTGACATAGAAACACCTGGGCCTGAGTCATAATTTGAAGTTACAATTATACTTAAAAATTCACAAAAATTTTAGGTACAAACTTTAGGCATAACAATTAAGTTAAAAGATATGATTTTTAGGACTGCAATGTATGACTTAATAATAGCCTTCACTTTGTTGCATACTGTTCAACAGTATTATTATTATTGTAGGACATAATAATTTGGTAATTCAATTTTCTATGTAAATGTCTTTACTTTTGTTAAGAGATTGTAAGTTTCTTTCATTTATCCTTCTTGTCACCCAAAATACATCCTTCGCTTCTTTACAATTGAAGTAGTAATAGGAAAAAATGTTAGATGATTCAAAAGTAACTGAAATAAGCTTTTTTGGATAAAAAATTGTTTCATTGATAAATAAATACAGTCTGCTGAAGACAATCTTGATATTGTTTATGTCATAGTCATATAACAATTATTATTATTTTTTACATATGATAAGGACCTTTAAATATAATTAATAAATAATAAATAAATACAGTCTGCTGAAGACAATCTTGATATTGTTTATGTCATAGTCATATAACAATTATTATTATTTTTTACATATGATAAGGACCTTTAAATATAATTTATAAACAAAGCATTTACATTAATTAAAATTAAAAAAAAACTGGTTGGTTGTATGAAAGTTTGTGATATTATTAAATTCAGTTAAAGTTAACGGGTCACAAGATTATTGAATATAATACACTATGTTACATACAATAAACAAATAGTGACTCTTGCACATTTTAATATAGGTACCACTGAGAATTATTCAGGTACTCAATAGAGAAACTTTTGTAAGAGCCAGATGGGTGACCATCAAGAACATATTATTACATTTTAACTGTTACCTTCAATAGTGTCAGAAAACATTTCTTTACAAAAAAAATAGTTTTCAAAAATAAGGTGCCGTCCTATGCTTCAGACTTCAAAAAACAAGAGGAATGTTTTTGGGTAAACGCATTGCTATGTGCCAATAACATTCTACAAAATCCTACCTGTGAATAAATTTATAAATCATGTAAAGAATAGGCCTGAGCCCCTGCAGTGGGGACGTAAAAGGGCTGGTGATGATGATGATGAAAGAACATACTAAAGAGTAAAAGAGTATTGTAAAGTTGTTAATTATTATATTGTATTGTTTTTCAAGTTACACTTGTTCTTCTTGTCAGGCAACAGACATATATGAGTGGTAGGAAAAAATTTTTGAATGTTTCAAAAGTTGTAAAAGCTTGTAAAAACTAGATTTTGTTGCATATTTGTGCAAAGGGCATACACCCATGTATGCCCTTTTATCTTTACAATGCAAAGACTTAGGGTAGGGATGGTTAAGGAAGATGGGCCATGACCCTCCACACTGGAGGGAACTATTAACAACTGCGAATGCAACCATTAGGGTGTAGGTTATGAATTTTATATATTTTGTTGATTGATGACATATGGTTCCCTATCAAGTTGCATTATATGTTGACAGCATATAACATGGCATAATTTTGTTTGATTTAGGCCAAACAAAATAATTAATTATAATAAGTTCAACAAACAGCTTATATGTAACATCCTAAGCCATAAATTTATAAAACATGGTTTTAGTGCTCCCAAGCCACTACCTCCACACAGTTACTGCGTTCACTCAGTCTGATTTTTATTTTAGTCACAGTTCTAACCTAACCAATTGATTGTTCTGTCATGGCTTACACCATTATGTGAATTTAAATTATTTAAAAAATTGCCTATAAGATAAAGTGCCTGAAACACATACTGTATGCAAAATACACATTTATGGCAAAGTAGGTTAGTTGCGTTAGTTACTTCTAGAGATATCATTATAACCTAAAATGAATCAACACAAGAGACACACCTGTGCACTAGAATGTGATATGCTATAATCAAACAATATATTTCTTTTACATCATTGTCATGTCAATACTAATTAATCATAAAATACTGTTCTTTTTAGTAAACTATTATTTTTGATTTGCACACTTACGGAAACATTGAAGTATTAAGCAAATACCTATACGGATATAAAAGTATTTTGGTATTGAAACTTTCTAAACTTTTTACTTTCTAATTTAAATTTCAGTTTGTTTGAACTTTGTTTTGTAATTACATATAATAAATTAAATATAATTATATCCCTACATTACTATCATTATATACTACATTAACATAGTACTACAAATACACACTATAAAATGTAAACATTAACTTTGCTTCAATTATTTAAGTTATTAGGTATCAGAATTAACTAAATTTAGTTTGTGCAACAGAATTGCCACCACTACTTTATTAGATACCATCTATATCACAATATTTAGGAGCCACATAACCTATAATTTAAATATATTTCAAATTTCATTCCGGTAATACAATGTAATCAAATATTGAATACCAAACTATTGACAATTTGAAATATACTTAATCTTTTATTGTTTTATTTTGTTATTAGTTTTGTCACCTCAAAACACTGTAGTAGAAAACCAATTTAAAGTTATTGCTTTTAAATAATTTGCCAGAAATCTATTTTGATTCTCATTTCATATTATTGTTAAGAGATATTGAAGAGGTTAAACAACAAAATGCATATATATATATATATATATATATATAAATTCCTAAATTGTGGAATTGTATAAATACTTCAAAATTATCCAAACACAATAAAATGACTAAAAATGATAATTTACTGGCAAGTGAAAACTACGCATTAGTGTGTACTAATCTAAAAAAAGCAGACACCTTGACAAAACACGAGGTCAATACACTCGACAGCAATATCCATGTGATTATGACGATAATCTATTACTAAACTTATAACAAACATGTGAACTTAACTCTTTCACATCATTTGACAAGTAAATATGTATATTTAACGTTTATTAATGAATTATTACACTATTTTTCCACAATTTAGGAATTTATCTGCATTTATTTAGTTAAATAGGTCTGAAACGCTTACTACTGACTCCCAAAACAAGGAATTGACGATCAAACTTTGTACCTACACTTACATGTACAATACTGTAAACAGCTTAAAGTAAACAGGTTATTCATTTTAACCAAATCAGTATGTAATTAGTACCAAGAGATTTCCTTACCGAACCATGACCTGAAGTAAGAGGCCATGTATAAACAACAGGTTCCGCGCCTGCAGGAGAATGCAGGCGTAAATCCAATGCCATGATAGGGAAACCACTGCATTAAACCATACACATATCACTTATAAACTAAAATTATCACTAAAAACACTATTTATTAACATAATTTCACTGCACTTTCACACACACACACTTCAAACTACCGGGCGCCATGTTGAAATTATTCCAAATCTAAACATGGCCACTTTAGATGAGCAAACCATAGACTATAATACGTATACATGATATCTGTGGCGATGGATGTACAGCGAAGTTCCTTCGCCCGTTCCTATTTTCGAAACATAGTTATCTATACATGTTAGGTTAAATTTCCACAATTTATTTTCAACTCTAAAACAGAATCTTAAAGGATTAAAATAATGTGAAGGAATTAGAAAATATTATATAACCTGATATATGCTGATAAGTTTGTTGTTGATTGTACACTCAACAGCACGTCATGTTATACAAATATGTCAATTTTATTATTATTTCAAATTCATATTATACAGAAAATAAGCAAACCTACTATCTTCTAGGAGTAAATATTACCCCCGTAGAACCTCGTAGTAGGTTTACTTTTGCTAAATCTCTGTTTAATAATTTAAATTTTGACTAATGCTAAGTAATCTCAACGTAAATTTACTTCAACGCCAAAACTTGTTTATTGTTGTAATAGAAGACTTTAAAATTAACTACATAAATTTTATATATTATGGCAGTAATCTGACGTGCAGCCATGTATATGTATCACTCATCTCTGCCTGGAGTAATATTCTTAACATATTTCTTCTATAATAATTAATATTAAAATATTATTATGACGAAAGAGTTGATATTTTTTCATTAAATAAACGTCGAAACCACTCGGCTGATTAAAAAAATTCTTACATCTACGATTACATACCATATGAGAGCAACATAGACTATCATTTACGGGGGCAAAGTTACAGAAAAACAACTAAAAAAATCATGTAATGCACCCGAAAAGTAATTTTTAATTGTGCCCTTCAAAACTAAAATTCACGTATCCTAAAAATAAAAATTGTTAGTAATTGGGTCCCTTTTTTTTCTTCGGGTACGGATCCTTAAAAAAAACTTATAAAATCTCAGATGATACATTAAATCTATGACTAAAATGTGTCTCATGAAGGATATACCGCGGCATGACTCTTATTACTTTGTAATAAAAGCGAAAACATTGTGATCTGAAGGATTTGTTTAGTGGCACGAATTCTAAAATAATATCATTAACAAAAAGCGTCAGAATTACAGTATAAAAATATCAGAATCTGATGCTAAATCTGGAAATATTGATTTGTAGAAGGCAACATTGAGGAAAAAGGATGAAACGTCTTGATAATGTGGTATCCTGTAACTACCTTTGACGTATCAAAGGTAGTGCAAGTGTACCTGGAAAAATTATTATTACTTCTACAGTAGTAGTAATGATAATTTTCCTAGGTACTGACTCGAATATGGTAGGTACTCGGGTACTCTAAATTTACAAGTTTTTATGAATCTTTTGAGCATTCAAAACTTTTGATCCAAAAGCGATTGCAACTTTAAACTCAGAGTCTCAGATCACAGCACAGAGCTTGGCCTGGGAGCCGAAGTGATTAACTGAAACAGTTGGTTTCACATTAAACGGCATATAACTTATACAATCTAACAATATAAACTGATACCGCGATGCATTAAATTAACAACGCCATCTAGTTTGCAGACTTAGAACTATTCGGGCACCTATGAAGATGATAGGTGTGTTACAAATAAGTATCTTTGTCATTACAATATTCAAACAATATTGTCGCAAACTTGAAACTTCATATTTAACATAACAATATTGCAGCAAACTTGCCTCGTATATTTGACACAGCAATTTAGAATCAAAGAGAAATCAAACTTGTCCCAAGTTAACTATCTGGGACAGCGGTTGGACCGCCTAACAATACCTAGCTCGGATGGAGACAATTATCCTTTAATCGCCTTCGCCAGTTATCTCCATCATCCAGTAAGACCACACATCCACCATTACGGTTCCTACAATGAGGAAGTATTTTAAAAGAAGCAAACACTAAAAAAGTACCTCACTAGATGGCAACTCTAGTAAAAGTTGATTTTTGCAGGAAACTGATACCCGATGGTAAAAAGGGTATAGAGAAAGATCAGGGAGCTTTTAGATCACATTAGTTTATTTACCACCAAAAATATATATTTTATAAAATACAATCAGCACCGACAATAGCTTTACGAAGAGTCTTTTTCAATATATAAATAAATAATAGACGCGCATGTGCAGAACAGATTATCAATATTTAAATTTAAATTAATTAAAAAGATCTTAAACCAAGAAGGTCTCCCTCAACAGAAACGAATGGACAAAAGATAGTCATTTCCGTTTCTTTTAACTAACATATTAAAAAAAGTGATATTGCAAAGTTTGAAACTTAAGATATCAATACAAATACGAAAAACTAGAAATAGAATATTAGATGTTTATTTAGTTTTAAAAAAATATTGACTTTTAGACATGAAAGATAACTGGAAGGGTTGTCATGGAGAAATCAAGGAAGTACCAAAGCGATATCTAGTTTGATTTCGGGAACTAATGTCTTTTTTTTTTTAAACTTCCTCGTTGAATACAGAAAAAACTTATTGTAAATATATAAAAGAATAGGACACACGATCTTCGTTGTAATTATCCCTTTCAGCTCGGAAAAGCTTCTATATGGAGCAATGAAAAGTAGTACATTATTTAATAGTTTCGTCCTGTATTTAATACGTCCACTTTTTGTGTCCACCATGTCAGTCTCTTATGAATTAATTTATGGTCTATGCCGTTTTACGCTGACTATTTCTAATATTTTTGTCATTTGTCTGTGCTAATAAGGTAATGCCCACCCGACACATTAGATAGCCAGCATTGTGGTAAACTATATAGGTGACTGTGGAGAATGTATGATAAGGCAAAGATAGATTGTGAATTTGTCATGTCGTCCGCACGTTGGAATTCCTACAGTTTTCTCGGTGAATCTTGTGCTGACCAAGTCAAATTTCAATCTCCACATATTCACATGTGTAGAGAGGGCATTAGCTAACGAATAAAAATTTAAAAATTATATTTCTCACGAGATTTTTCAGTTGTTAAGTAGGTATCAAATAACATATAATTCAATTAAAATTGTGTCTACGATGAAAGTGTTGTGAGTCCGTTCTACATCTTCAAAATATTTTATAGATAATAAAATCCGTTAAATGAATATGGATATCGTGTATTCTTCTCTTACTGAACTTACAAGTTTGGATGAAGTGGAAAATATTGAAGCCAAATTATTTTATCCCGTTATTGCTGTTATTCAAAATAGAAATACAGTTCATCTGCTGAATACTAAAGAATCAAAAGGAAATCCTCAAATATTTAAATTTAACAGCGATATAATATGCAAAGCAGAGCAGAATCACCTGTTATGGTTATTATTCAAATCTGGAGAAATAGTTATATTTAATATACTGAAAAATTTGAATATTTATGTTACAATTGATAACTATAAAGTTCAAAAACTTTATTGTGATATAGATAATGAGTTGATTTTTTTAAGTGAAAGTGGACAAAGTCTTAAGTGCCCTTTAACCATTGAAGACATTGATACACAGTTTGCAAATAAAGTATCAAAAATCTCAACATCTCTATTGAAATTATTAACCCATTCTAATGGCATACAACCGGATAATGGTAATAGTGATTGGAAAGGATTAAATATGTACATTGAAGAACAAAACATAGTATTGAAATGTATAACCACAAACATAAATGGAAATATTTTACTTAATAAATCACTTGAGAAAATTTTGCCTTGGGATGATATGGTTGTATTAGCAGAGAAGGATAATATGTGGATTATTAATCCAAAAGATGCTAATGTTATATTTCTGTTTCCTAATAATAATATGTATTATTATCCAATTGGAGCATACAATCAATTACTTTATTATATAACATGGAGAGGAAAAGAAGTAAGTATTTTAGATTTCATATTTTTTATAGGTATGTGTGTAAATATCATACTTGATTATCCCTATTTGATTTAATTCAAATCCATTCATATGGTAAATATCATACTTGATTATCCCTATTTGATTTAATTCAAATTCATTCATATGGTAGGCCTGTGCCCCACAGTGTGGTTAGTAATAGGCTGGTGAGTGGAGAGAATGCCTAAAGGCATTAAGCCTGCCATTTGTACAATCATGCATGCAAAAAAGTAAAAATAAATAAATGTTTGTAGAAAGAGAAATGTATACTTTAGTTGCAAATTGTATAAAAGTGTCACAGATTGACACACTTCAAATGCCTTGAAAGCAGGGCCAGATAGCCTTGTAGCAAAAGTAGCAAATGCTACAGGCCCCCGTGTGTTTGGGTATCCTGCACAATTGGGAGCCTGGCTATGGTTCAGAGCCAATTAATAAATTTTCAAGTCACTGTTAAATGATGCAAGAAATAAAATAAGCCACACTTCTGAATAGTCATATTTTTAAGTATGAACATAAACTGAATAAATAAAACTCAAGTCACATATCTTGTTATATTGTGTTATTCGGAATAGCTATGGGCCCTACTCTGACTTAATACGGCACTGCTTGAAAGGACATGAATCCAGTAGGCTAATTCATGTGACAAAAGTAGTAGCAATTTAATGTTGAACCCATTTTCCTATTCACATCTATTCAATAGAACTATCATTGATTGATTGATAGTCAATGCCTCATCAGTGTAAAGCATTATTAAGAGTTGTGGATATGCAAATATAATAATAATTTTAGTTTAAAGTATGTTTAATTTATTTATTAATGTAAATTTTTTCTAGTCATAGATTTGACACAATTGAATATTCTTCAATGATACTCCAATAGAACTATCAATAAATTAAACATACTTTAAACTAAAATTAATATTTGCATATCCACAACTCTTAATAATGCTTTACACTGATGAGGCATTGACTATCAATTTTTGACATTTTGCATGACAAATAGAATTCTATTCTTCCAAGAAAATGTTGTATAGTTCCCTTAATTTACCACTCAGTAGATTTGCTACCTTTTATTTAACTTCACACCAAAGATGTTCTATGGGATGTTAGCTGGCCAGTCTAAGACAGAATGGATTGAGAGTGAAATTCCTTTACCAAGCAAGCTGTATGTTTTGGATCATTGCTGAAATTTCCAAATAGTTGGAAGAATATCTTCCGCATAGGGTAACATTGTTTCGTTCGATATATTATTGTATTGAACTTGAGCTATGTTTCCTTTTATAAACAGAGCACACTTAATTTATTTCATTTCATCAGAAAAAAGTTCATTTGACCACTGTTAAACTGTCTAGGCATGGTAACATAAGCAAGCCGGGCTCGCAGTTCGTAAATCTACGGCGGGAGACCTTGTACCGAGAAGAACCGGCAAGAAACTCGGCAAGGGCTGATTTTTTCTCCCTGTTTTATTTCATACAGAGCGTCAAGATTGAAAAATGACAATTACAATATTTAAAAAATGATATCTAAATGATAAATAAATTATATCTACAAGCTTATTACACAACCACCAGATAATTTCGTTGAATATGCTATCGAAAAATAGCGATGGGTCGTTATCCATTTTTCGAATCACGTAACGCAATCGCTATCAGATCGCCAATCACCGATATCAAAACTGTCTATTTTTGATAACTAGTTATTTCTACAACGCTAAAGTCAAACCGAATTTTACTCTTATGCTAACGCGATAAAGCTCAATTTTGGGTTGGTTACTTGATCACTCCGAAACCCGAATAACGTGAGCGAACTAGCATATACCTATTTCATTCACACGTATACTGACATCCTGTTTTTGTTTCATTCACACATGACAGATTGGATTGATTGCGATCCACATTATTTAAACGCTCTACATTACGCGTTACATTCTATACCGTTATTAAAATTGTACTACATGACCGTCAATGTAAAGCGTTAATATATAAAGATGTCTACGTATCGCTGCGATCTGTGGTCGCTGCTTCTTGGTGATCGATGCTACCTTGAAGCGAGGCAACCGACAATCAACGTAATGTCGTTTACATAAGAGTGAATTCGGTCTAACCTTAGAACGTTATGGATAATAGACAGTTATTGTAAACCTGTGATCGCTACTTCTTGGCGATCGTCAAATCAAAGATCGACTTTATGCTGTTGACATACGAGTGAATTTGGTTTAATTTTAGAACGTTATGGAAAATAGATAGTTATTGTATAACTTAATCACGAGTTATCGCGGTTCAGGCAGATCACCAGTTGAATAACTGTCTATCGCAAATAACGTCCATCGCTAATCGAAAAGTATTGTTATTGTTGTCGTCACTAGTAAGCGAGAAAGCGCGCGCACTCGTCGTCTCATAGTATACAAAGAAGTCTTTGATTCTGTCTAATCGTCTAGATTGCCGCTTTTTGTTCTTATTTTTATCTTTTTTATGAGGTAGTCTTTAATGAATAAAAACTTCTGTAAGCTTGTTAGTCACAGATAGAAAATAATGAGAAACATCTCCTAGAACGAGAAATACTTATGTTGGACTATTTGAGCAAGAGTAGTAGAAATATAATTTTTTGTCTTGTTTAATAACCATTGACAACACGTTAGGTTTTTATAACATACAGGGTATGTTCCGATATACACTGCGACCACTGAACAGTATGACGTCAATTTAGTATACTGGAAGCCCGTTCCTTTATAGCTAGTTATACTAGTGACTTTTTAAAACGGAACGCAGTCCAGTATACTGTTAATCCTATTTTTTGGCGCCATTTTCAAATTTGTTAATGCAAGGTGAATATAAATATAAAGATTCCTCTTTTCAAAAGAAAATTGGAAAATTGTATAAAAAAAAATATTTATCAATTAAATCCATCTTATAAATAAACGTAAGTATTTTTTTTTGTTTATTTAGAAACTTATCATTTTCTGATTCTGTTTCGACTGATCACGTGATCAAAAGCACTGCGAGCATCTTACCTCGAAATCTCCAGTACTCACAGTACAAATATGGCGGCAATTTATGACGTCATAAATTTCCCTAGGGTACTGTAGCAGTGTACTGGCAGTCCATAACGAAACGGATTTTTCAGTAAGACCACTGCGCAGTGCTCGCAGTGTATATCGGAACATACCCACAGGCGCTTGAATCCCAACAATGAACCATAGATTAAATAAAATCATTTTTATTTATTGGTCAGGAATTACCGTTCATCGAAAAGCAATAGGCATTGGTATATCGTAATATACGTTCTTATGCTTTCATAAAGATTGCTGACTGATTTGATTTACAGATTCACATTTTCTGTGCCTGGAGTGCAACTTCTTCAACTCAGAAACTACTATTACTTGAAGATTCTTCGGAAAAGACTTTCGCTGAACTTTCGTCACAAGAAACTCTGAAACTGCAGTTGCAAACACAAGTTGATATGGCTTTACTTGAAAGTAAACCCACGCATATAAAAACACAATTATTGCCTTATTTTGAAAAAATACAAGATTATGGTTTTCTTATAAATGCTGCTGCGCAACTTTGTCAACATAGTCTTGTTTATAAATCACTTTTGTATATACTTCAAAATAGAATGTTTCAAAGTGGAGATAATGACTCGATTGACAATTTAACAGACCTTATAATAAAAGTTGATTTAGTTGAATATATTTGTTTTAAAGGTAATAAAAATTATAGTGATATAAATTTATTTGAAAAAAAAATCGTCGAACTATGTATCACATTTATATCAAAGTCTGATTTAGATTTAGCGTCAATTTGCTGGTTAAAGTATACAGAAATAAAATTAAACATAAGTTCAGACGATGTTAACAATATTTTGGATGCTGTCCCTTATAATATAAAAATGAGTACTTTGATAATGTGGTTGAAAAATTTTGTGCCATCACTTCTAGACGAAAATCCATTTTTCATAGATCACTTTGTAAAATGGACAATGGAAAGAGTATTTAAATTAGAACAATCAGCATATTGGCCCAAAATAGGTTTAAAATTTGTCGAAGAGATAATTGCAGTTTTAGAAATATCCTTAAAAATAGTGACAATTCGGCCCATTTCCATGGATGATTTAGATTGTATGAGGGATCAAATAAACTATGTAATGGAGCTTAGAGAAAACTACAAAATTAATATGTCATTGACTGAATTAAGTTCCCAAAGTCCAAGTGAAGTTGCCCTTATTATGCTCCGCCGTTGTTACACTGAAGATCTACAGTTATTTTTACAAGGATATTTGCCAGCGTATGCTGCTCGCCATTTATTTGAACTCGATGATACATTGCGTGCCTATATTGAAACTGAAGCATCTATTAGCGGTGGATTAGTAGACGGAAGCCGTTTAAAAATTTTACTGGAAGCTTTTCGCTCTACTACTAATAAACTTGATTGCCTTTTACAAGTTCTGAAAATGTTGGACGTACCATGGGACAATAATGTCTTAGAATTGGCAGTAACAGCAGCTGCATCAGCCTTTAAAGATTTTACTGTCACTGATACAGACCGCACTTTAGCATTTGAAATACAGAAAGAACTGAACTATGCTAAAGTGAAGGTTGTTTTGAAGAAATACAATTTTCCATTATCTTGTACTGACTACATGCTAGTTCTAAATAAAATTACAGGTTCTTCAAATGTAGACTTGAAGGACTTGAAAATTATCTGTAACGTGACTAGCATTAAACATTATGGAAGCGTATTGTACATTGATAAATGTCTTAGTAATTGTGAAACGAAAGTAGCATTGAATTACTTTAACGATTTATCTAAAAACGACAAGAATATTATAATAAAATCTACTCTGAACAAATATGAACAAGTAATAAATTCAGATTCAAGGAATTCAGCAATTGAAAGAAGTTATTTAGACTTTTTAAAAGGATCCACACTTTTAACCGATCATCAAATAACTGATATTGAAAATCTTTATCATCTTAAAAACTCTTATGATATCATAATGACCATAAACGAAATCTATAATGAAGAAGATCGTCTTAAAAAATCTAATGACTGGATGAGAGAAAATGCGAAATCTGTTAATTCTGCTCAAAGACAATGTGTTACGAAGCTTACCCGTACGGGTCAATCCAATTGTTCTGTCCTCCTAAATAAGTTACGGAAAACTTCTGCATCTGAATCGGTTCGTGCACTATTAGAGAACCTGATAATGGTACAGTCTGAAAATGCAGTAGATATATACCCACCAGCTTTGTCAAGTTTTAAAGATGGCTCTAATACAACACTTTTAATAGAATCTTTTCGTATATTAATCGATCTTGTATTTAAATGTGAAGAAGATAATTTACACACTTTAGTTGATTATTTATCTCTTCTTAATACATTGGTACATGGAGTCGTTATATTCAAACATCTATCTGTAGCATGGAAGTTTCAGTATATTTATTTACCAATGTCATCTATCACAGGAGTAAACAATTTGATAAACTTCTTTGATAATATGTTTATACCTAACTGTTCTATTAATCATGGTTGCGTTGAAGGATATGACATGATATCAATTGCAATGATTCCTAACATATTCAAACATTACGTCTTTAGAGGTGTAACGCTGAAGGAATTATATATACTGCGAAATAAAATTGTGAGGAAATTATTGTCGAAAATGATTTCATGCCAAGAACTTGATGAACTTTTATTAACATCTTTATTACTAATTCTTAGTAATTCTGAAGACATGGAAGATATGTCGTGGCTAATTGATATTACAACAAAAGGTCAGAGTGATATTATTCCTCAACCGATGAAGAACTATCTTTCAACACCACTATTACGCCGACTATTTCCAATTGACAATGATTTGCCTGGAAACACTATGCCTTATCCACCGCAACAGTTACTTAAAACTAAATTTAATATAAATTTAGCCGATATCGCCCTTCCTGATAACAATGAAGAAACTTGGGATGTAAAAGTCATACTTTTTTGTATACTACGACAGTATCCAGACACGGATTTTGAACGCTTGGTTGAGTTATGTCACACATTAAATATTAGTATAAATGATGGTCTTACCTTACAATTGATATCTTTATTTTCCACTTGGGAACTAAAATACAAATTGATTAGTGATGAATTGAATTGTCGTCATATGTATTTTGAAAATGATGTTAAGACTCTTGCTTCCAAATGTTTAACCATATGGGAGAATATTGAACGTAAAGATTTGTTAAGAGATATTTTAAATGATTTTTGGAAAAATGGAGAAGTATCATTATATGGTCGTTCCGTTTCAATTAATCCTTATTATTATGAAGTGTATATGTGCATCTACTACTTACTTTATAGTTCTTCGGGGGAAACTCGCAATGCAAAAGAGTTTTTACTCTTGAATTTTTTGAAAGATTATAAAAGAAAAAGTAGTCCAAAACAATACGAATTTGAACTTTTTTCTGTAAAAGGTATGTTTCCAGAAATTGGATATCATCGTTTACCATTTCATCTTTTCTTGAGAGATGATAAATGGTCTAACCTCAAGTCTGAGATTACACTAGAAACCTACGAGCGGTGGTTACCCGTCGTCGGATTAGTATCTCTAGATTCTGATGCACAAACAGCAAAAGATATGATATGCAGTAATGCGCTTAAGCAAACTATGACGTCACGAAAGCGCTCTGAAAACAGTGAAGATGAAGGATCTGAACCTTGGCGCTTGATAACTAAAGAAGAACCTTTACTCCGTGCGGCTCATAAGTGTGTTAGGCATATTGCCAATATGGAATGGGCAGGAGCTTGTTTATTCTATGTGCTGCAAGGTTGCGCTCGTGGGGCAGATCAAGTAGCCGCAGCTCAATTGTGCTATCAGTTTGCACAACGTTGGGCTGCCGTCCAACCTGGTAATCGAGCAGTGCGTCAAATGGAAAAACTACATTCTTCTCTCTCAACACGTCATGCATTACACAAAGTTAACTGGGCATGTGAAGAATTTGTTCGTCTTTCAACGGAACCCGCACAATTGATTCGTGCTTTATACCTTCATCCTCTGTTTATTGAAAAGATGTCTCGTCACGATATTAATCGTGCTGCGAATGAAATCGCTGACAAAAATAGCATAAATATTAGTTCTATCAGAATTCAAATATTGGAAAATATTCTTGATAAAACCTATAAAGAAAAGAATAATGATAAAAAAATTTCGGGTTTAAATAACAGGGATTTGAAAACTGCAAAATATATACTAAAGGCGACTTGTCCTAAAATGGGAGCTATTTATTTATCCCGAATAGCATTTGATGATGAAAGTGATTACAATAAGGGAAAAAAATTACACGCCTTGCAATGTTTAATGAGTGTTGTAGAAACTGATACCGCCGTTAAAGTTACAAATCGTGGACGGGAAGACTTATGGGATTCACTCGTAGAATTGATTCATATTGTAAATCTAGAAAATATTGACATGCCTTGGGTTGTCACTACTTTCATGCAGGATAAAGGTCGGGCAATTGAACAATTATTGCAAGATAGTACTAATATTGAAGGGCTAAAAATAGCAGCAGAACTAGCGCGTAAATATGGCAATGTTAAAATAATACGCGGACTTATACCTTTACTGCTTCGTGCTGGCTTACATGAAGAAATTACACCGTTACTGTTGAAGTTGTCTGCTCCTGCTAACGAGTTCATTTACACTGCATGGCGTGCAGTTATTGTGACTCCATTCCAACAGGCAGATCATCCTATTACAGAACGGCAAAAGGTAAAATGCATTAATGCTATAAATTTATTGCCAGCTTGCCCTGTTATCAAGGATGAAGATTTAGTAGAAATCTGGAAGAATTGTGTTAGATGCAAATGTTTAGGAGTAGGTTGTTTAGTATTACCTTATATGACTACTGAAACGAGACAGTCATTAAATGAACTACAAAAAATTGATAAAAGAAGCCTAATAGCTAGTCTCAAAAATTTACATTCTGAAACTTATCTTATTTCTGGGGCTATGCATGTGATTGAAAATGTGTCTGTTAGAGGACAAAGATAATTGATAGATATATTTACTATATTATTAAGCTATAGCAGTTTGGTATATTTGTTATTAATTACTGTTAATATTATTATAGCTTAATAAATGTACTTTATTTGGTTTTATTATTCTACTCCTTTTATAACAGACCTAGATCTCAGGCCGCCAGACAGAACTTATAACCAGAAACTAAAAAACGCTATCTACTGACATACTGACTGTAACATATTTGCGAGTTTGAGTTTTAAACGCGTACACTAGTGAAAGTGAAGATCGATTCACACTCGCAAACGAATGATTTTCGGAATGTCGCGAGCACAACATAAACTAAATTCACAACTTTGATATATATATTTTTTTATATAACAACATCACATACATTGCTCAGATTCCAAGATGAGTATCTGAGACAACGAAGGTACCACAACACCCAGACCAGAGTCAATATAGAAAAGTTCATTTTCTACATTGACCCGACCGGGAATCCAACCCGGGACCTCAGAGATGGCGACACCTTGAAACCGAAGTGCGAACAACTCGGCTACGGAGGTCGTCAATGTCGTCATATGTTTAAAATGTTTGATATAGTGTTTTGAATTATAATAAAATTAGAATGGGATGATTATTTTTCGCATGGAGTATGTTCCCAGCTACTAAATAATGAGATGACCGTGATTAGAATGTTAAATTATAGGAGCCCGGTGCTTTATAGGAATTTAGTTTTATTATAAAAGTCACCCGAGCTCTATTTATATTTACAAATATAATGAAAACTAAAAATGAAACCACAATTTGTGATGTTAAGGTATATTTCGTACGGACCGATTATGGGATGGGTGACCACTGAATATTATCTATCCCATGCTTCTCAAAATATGGTTAACCATTGGTTCCGGCTATACCTGCAATTGTTAATACCAAACACACCATACTCTAGACCAGCGATTCCCTAAGTGGTCCATTTGAACCCCAGGGGTCCACGAGGGATTCGACGGGGGTCTACGTTGGCGTGAAATAAAAATATGGGTTAACAAGTTGTAAGTGAGGTCGACGAAATTTTATTATTAATCTAATATTAAAATTATCTGATTTCGATAGTAAAGAACAAAAATGTTTGCTTGGCTTTACCTAGGCGATAATATTGTAAGAAGATCAGCGTGTCTTGTAAAAACTTGCTTTTTCAATATTCAGTACAATGCGTGTCGATACTTGCAATGCGCCGCCGCCGCCTGTCAACACGCAATGCTTGTTCAGACGTGCACAGCTACGAAATACCACTTCTGCTGTGCTTACAATCTTGTATAAAGGGTTTAGCCGGATACGTATGACGAGTCGGCCCCCAAATGGGAATCGATATTGAAACTTATGTGTTAATATCGACTTGATGTTCAAACACGATTTATGTACTTTTCGCGACCGACTTCCGCTTTGACCTTGAGATAGAGAGCGAAATATCCGTATGCTTGACTATTACTGAATGTGATATATCTCTGAAGCTAATTAAGATAAAGAAGTGAAACTAACGCGAGGTGTTAGTTTACATTACAGAGTATATCACATATATTTTTTTATAATTTTTAGAATAAAAAATTACATTAAAAAAATAAAAAATAAAAAAATCATGTTTTTTTTTTCTGAGTTCTCTGTGACTTACAATCACGAAATTAATATATGTTATGCTCCTTTGTGTGCTCTATTACCCATAAAAATTGCGTGAAAAAAAAGTTGGTGCAACACAACGAAAAAAAAATATATGTGATTTCTGTCTTATGGTATACCCCTGTATTATAAGGTTTTCACATTACATCATTGTTTTTTTTTTCGAAATTTCACATCAGCTTGTTTTAAAACATAAGTAACTAGTCTTAAGAGATGGGATTATAGTTAAAAAAGAAATGAAAAAAAAAAACAGCCAGTGTTCAATACTTATTATTATTACTTTTTCGTGTCTATCAAAATACAAGAAACAAAATATTAATCATCGTCACTGTTGTAATTAATTACTATCGGAACACTTTGAGTCGCAAATAACTTAGTTAGGACCTCAGCAGGACGTACGATTTTGGACAAATATCATCCATATGATAGATAATAAATAATAGCTGCTACATGAGAACAGCATCCCACTGTACGTTCGCCATTGGGGCAATCACAGCAATAACGAAGAATACTATTGTAGTCATTACCTTCGGAAATATAGTGAATGTAAATTCGATAGACTTTTCTATTTATATGTCTTGATTTTACTTCTGCTTTGATGATATTAGGTGCTGATTTCACATATTGTACTGAGAGATTATTTTGATCGTCCATTATTTCGGCCAAGTTAAATGCTGCACATTTAGAAGTAGAAGCTTTTTTGTTAATATATGGGATAAGTCGACACTTCTTACAAAAAATATCATTAACTATTACGATTTTATTCAAACAGTCACTAAACACTTTAGCTTCTTCTTCATTCTTTATAATTTTTTTATAACCAGGAATCTTACACAGGTACTTGTTACAATTTTTACACTTTGTCGACATTATTACTTAATAATGATTAAGTAATGATGGTTCGATAGTTAATAATTTCAAAATGCTGATACAAAATACCTATGACAGAATTTGAGTCCCAAACTGCCTTCTTGTGTAATACAAATGACTGCTACTTTAGCTAAACAAACGATGCAGTAAACAGCTCGATAACAAGTTCGAACTTGTTTGTTTATACACTCACACTACAAGGCGCGAATCACATATAATTTTTTTTCGTTGTGTTGCACCAACTTTTTTTTCACTCAATTTTTATGGGTTATAGAACACACAAAGGAGCATAACATATATTAATTTCGTGATTGTAAGTCACAGAGAACTCAGAAAAAAAAACATGTTTTTTTTTATTTTTATTTTTTTTATGTAATTTTTTATTCTAAAAATTATAAAAAAATATATGTGATATACTCTGTAATGTAACCTAACACCTCGCGTTAGTTTCACTTCTTTATCTTAATTAGCTTCAGAGATATATCACATTCAGTAATAGTCAAGCATACGGATATTTTGCTCTCTATCTCAAGGTCAAAGCGGAAGTCGGTCGCGAAAAGTACATAAATCGTGTTTGAACATCAAGTCTATATTAAAACATAAGTTTCAATATCGATTCCCATTTGGGGGCCGACTCGTCATACGTATCCGGCTAAACCCTTTGTTTGATTCTTCACCAATATAAACACGAATGCCAAAGTGTCAGTAAATCTATGTCAGTGTTTGCTGGTCGGAAAGAATAAGTACCTCCCTGCCTATTTGATTGTAATTATATTATATTTTTTATGTTTGCGTGTAGTAGGTACAGTATTGATTATTTGAAATTTGGTTTTCTACCATCAAAGGCCGATTCGAATGAGAAACAATTGTCGACATGCCTTTTATGCAACAAAGTTTTGAGCAATGACTCTATGAAACCATCGAAGCTCGAAGACCATCTAAGAAGGTGTCATCCTGATAAAATAGGTTGACTTGAAATATTTTCAAACATTGAAGGAGAAATATGAAAAGAGGCCCACCGTGCACAGTATGTTCGCTTCAACGTCTCAAAGTAACGATGATGGCTTGCGGGCATCTTAAAATATCTCATTGCTTATTGCGAAATCTGGGAAACCGCACACTATCGGAGAATAGTTAATTTTACCCGCTGTTGACGAGGTTTTAAAAACTATTCTGCACATGCCTTCACATAACTTACTTAAAAGAATTCCTTTAAGTAACAACACTGTATAAAGTCGTATTGATGAAATGAGCTTTAAAATTGAAAGTTTCTTGTGTAATTATCTACAAACACCTCATTTTTCTATTCAACTGGACGAATCAACTTTACTTGGTAATGAAGCATTATTATTGGCATATGTTCGATTTATTATGGACATAGAAATCAATGAAGAGCTGCTATTCGTGAAAACTTTAGAGACGGACACTAAAGGCGAATCAATATTTAAGCTACTGGGTGATTTTTTCAGGAACAATCGATTCCATTTACAAACATCATTTCGGTGGCAACAGATGGAGCTCCTGTCATGGTTGGACATTATCGTGAGTTTATAAGCCACCTTAAAAGAATAATACTAGGAGTAACCACAATACACTGTGTCATCCACCGACAACACCTGGTAGCGAAAAATTTGAATGATAGATTGCATCAATCGCTTCAACTTGTGATTAAAGCTGTTAATAAAATAAAAAGCAGTGCTTTGAATACTAGTTTATTTGCCCAATTGTGCGACAAAAATGATGAAACCTTCTGACGATTGCTTTTTCATACTGAAGTACGCTGGTTGTGGAAAGGTGCGTGTTTAACAAGGTTTTACTTACTTTTTGAATCAGTTTTAGAGTTTCTGAAAAGTAAAGATCGAGATTTAAAAGAAAACTTGATCAAATGGAAAGCAGACATCGCGTATTTGACAGATTTGTTAAAAAAATTATGACATTAACTTGCAGTTACAAGGGGATAGCCTAAATTTAATAAAAACAAAGAGTGTTATTCCGGCTTTTTCTTGGAAAATTGAAATTTATGAAGCAAAATATTAGTCGGCGCGAATTCTCACAGTTTCCAAACTTGTCACATACAGCATGTCTTGATGAAGATATTCAGATATATGTACGTCCAACATTAAAATGCGCTGCATGATGACTTCAAAAACAGATTTGAAGATATTTTGATAATGTAAATAACACCACGGATCATAAATCCATTTGATGAAACGGAAGTCGCGGATGTTGTATTACAAGAGGAACTACTCGAGCTCAGCACCAATGAAGAGCTGAAGGTGCAATTAAGAAAGGCTATCAAAGATTTTGGCTGCAGGCAGAAATACTCGAAAAATATCCAGGGCTGTGGGAAATTGCGAGACAACTTTTAATAGCGTTTCCCTCGTCATACCTTGTCGAAAAAAGTTTTAGTTTCGTTACAAACCTATAAACAAAAAAAAGGAGCAGACTGAACATTACAGAACGGGGAGATTTGTGGTTAATGCTTACAAAACTGAAGCCAAAAATTTTTCATTTGCTGTCTATCCATCAAGAACATCCCTCCCATTAAATTAGTATTTTTTTATTATTGATTTGCATTGTTGAAGTAACGTAACGTTATTAGTGTTTCATTTTAATTCTATTAAGTCTGTTATCATTATTATTTCAATAAATAGATCGCAAGAAAATATACAATTTTTTATTAATTTTTACCACTCCGACTTTACGGTTGGAACTCACCCACAACGCCAATTTCCATCATTAGATCTTCACATTTTAGACGAATTTTGGGAATATGGTAAAAATGTAGCAGCAGGGGGTCATTCAAACTCTGAGAGAGTTTGAATGAGCGCATTCGAACTGTAATTCGCGGAGCGTAAGTTGAATAAAAATGGCGACGTCACGCTCAGGTAGTCACTAGTGTTTTGCGTTACTTTGGTAACGTGTAAAATCTCATACCCTCGATTGAAACTGAATGCTCTACGATAAGCTATGATAGTTGTAGTTATAGACGTTTTATGGCTGTGAATGCGGCAGCACTTTGGTTTTGTTCTAGAGTTGGATGGTTTTTAAGCAGTGCCTTGATAAGGTCGTTTTTTTAGAATTCACACACAATTTTGACCCATACTACGAGTTCTTTATCAGCGGCATTATACCTTAATATATTATCTTAAACTGTACAGTTATTTTTAAATTAATATGTTATCCTTAAAAAGATATACTGCGTGACGTGATCATGCAGTTTTTGTGAAGAAAGGAAAAATGTTGTTATAGACTTGTGGCGACTGATACATAGCGACATCTAATTCATCGCACTAACACCGCCACAACAATCGATAGCGAGAAGACTAGCATCGTCACAGCCATCGATAGCAAGACGAACTGCAATAAGTTTCAACAGCAATAACGAGATGGCGCTGTACCAATACAAGCAACATAAATTAATAACTACAAGACATTTAGAACAAAGAAACCTACATCGCACAGAATAAGTTTTATTACCAATTAACATAAATAGAACGTCCAACCTACTTCGGTTGGACCGCGGTCTCCGGGCTAACAACACCTAGCTCGGAGGGAGACATTTATCCTTTAGTCTCCCTGGCCAGTTGTCTCCATCACCACATTAGGGACCCAACCTTCAACCTTACGGTTCCTAAAGACTTGAGCATTGTTTTTAATCTCAATGAATTTGTACTATATTTCATCTCATCCACGTTAATGAGTAACTTTTATTTAAGAATTTATAGGTTAATAACCTACAAATTCAAAATTTCATATAAAACTTGTATTACTGCGTGGCTTTTTAATTTCAAAACCTAGTTTCAGAAGGGGCTTGGTAATCCTAGTTTATTCTATGACAGTAAAATTATTATAAAAATGTTATGGAACAATAATAAATATGAATAACAATACAAAGAAAAAATATAATTCATAATTACATTATATAAATTATCACTCGTGTTTTCTTTTTCGTGGGTTGAATCCCCGTTTCAACTGAATGGACTTTTTCACCTTTAAATTTATTTCATCATGAATAATAGTTTTAGTTTCATCTAGGGCTGAATGATAGCTTTCCAAAATTTTCTCAATTTTTTCAGGCTCTATATTGAGTTGAGGTAATTCTGTTTTACCACTGGATTTAATCAATTCCTGCAAACAAACAAGACTAGACAATAAAGATAAATATACAAGTAAGATATAGTTAGATGGAGTTCATATTTTATTATTTGATTTCATAAGCTGTAGGGTACAGCAAGCGAGCGGCAATTTGAACAGTATAATTAAAATTTTTCAGAAAGGACTATAACTATGACTTGTGACTGAGGACTCGTTTCGCTCGGTCCTTCCTTGGTATTTGTGTTCAGCTCGTAGTTGTATGCTCAGATATCATATCGCAGTCCTGATTGCATACATACAAGGAAGTATAGTGTATCCTGTACGTGTCATCCACAGACATAAGTTATGTACTCACCATAAATAGATTCATTTGATTTTGTTGCAGAATAGTTATAGCAGTCCCTGACCGACCTGCTCGACCAGTTCGACCGACTCTGTGTATATATGTCTTTATATTTCTAGGAGGATCATATGATATGACATATCTACAATCCGGAACATCTATACCTCGAGCCAAAGCATCAGTGCCGATGAGTCTGAAGAAAAAATGATTGTTATAACAAATTTCATTTGTTATAAAAGTAACTCTGTGCAAAGCGGCAGTTTGACAGGATTACAACTGGGCAAATTTATAATAGGATTGTTATTTGTGGGTACAATGAATTGAATTAACATTCAGTGGGTGCCACCCAGTATCTTGCCAACATTCATGAGTTCACACGAAATGATTCGCGGTGAAGTCTTCCTTTCTGAACAAACAGATGACCAAACCCTAATAAATATATATACAGAACTTACATATTGACTTCTGAATTGGTGAATTTCTTCAAAACAGCATCTCTTTTGTTTCTATCTAGGGCTGCAGACAATTCAGCAACTTTAATATTTCCTTGACCCCATTTATTGAGTAGGATTGCTAGTCTGTGTGCGGTTTGAGCTGCATTTGTAAAACAAAGCACTTTATCCCATTTCAGGTCCATCAAGAAATGATATAAAATAAGTGGTTTGTGTTCAGCATTACATGTGACAAATTGCTCATGTAATTCAGAAGGTGTTGTGTATTTTCTAATATATTCATCATCTTCATATTTATCTATTGGTGCGGCCGAAAACAATTTCGGTTGAAATAATCCCCATTGCTCTAATTTTTCGGGGTCCTGAGACAGAGTTGCGGAAAAGAGTAACTTTTGAGGTGGTGATTTTTGTTTAGACAAAGTTGCCCAGTTCAAATTTGAAACTTTTCCAGACATAAGTTCATTTTCCAGTTTAATATGTTTATCCATGTGATATAGCCAGTCGTTTTGAATATGATCCATTATCCTGTCAGCTTCATCAATTACCAGAAATTTTAAATGCTTTAAGGAGAATCCTTCAGTATTCTGAATATGTTCTACTAATCGTCCAGCAGTACAAACTATAATGTCTACTTCACTCACCCATCCTAGTGATTCAGCTGCAAAAGAAAACCGTAGAAATATTGATATTGTAAAAAGTATGTTGAGATCGAAAAAAATAAGGCTTTTGCAATATCGTTTCCAAAGAACGAAAACTAACAAAACGTAACATTGGGGAAAAATGAGATTTTTCTGATTTGTTTGATAGTGTTGCATTTCTTTACATCGCGCCAACGATTACGTCCCAAATCAACTGTCATGTTCGATGACAGGAAAGAAAGGGCACTGGGAGAAAAGGACGGGTAGTTGCGAAAACACCAGTAGGTCGAGGTCTGCCTACAATGTTCTAAATTCACTTCTGCCCCTGTAAGTGCGGCGAGCTGCACGTACTGGAATTCTGTCCACTGGATACGGCAAGAGCGATAACGACTAGCGAGATTGGAAGCGATTTGCTGCTCGTATCTAAAGCTGAGCTGATTATACTACTAAAATAATAATAGTACCGCAATGAAAACTAATTTCGATCATCCTACCCAATAAGTGACAAGTCACTTTGATTATCTCTATGGCTTTTATTATATAACTTCTTATATTTTTTTGTCCTGTCCTGATGTCCTGATTAATGTCCTGATTAATCACTGTGCACTAACACAAATTCTCATTGAGCGTGCAACGGATTTCATTCGAAATTTCCGTCCGATTTTCACTTATTTGAGTTCCTCAATTACACATTTTGTCCGTTGGTTAGTTTTCGTTTTAGGGCGATATGCAATTTATTAAGCCTTAAAGCATCCATTGATTTTGAATAGCATTAAGGATATTGTATGATTTACTAGTCATAGGTCTCCAAAATAACAAGTTTTGGCTCTCCTTTAAAATTTGCTCTAGTTAAGTTTCAAAAGTATACAGGTAAAATACATACTGTGCCGGACAATTTTTTGCTGTTCTTGATGGAGAGGTGTAGACCCACTCAACAAAGCCACTTTTAGAGCAGTTCGTGTACAATATTTCTTAAAAACTTTTGCAATTTGCATTGCCAACTCTTGAACAGGTAAAACTACCATAGCTCTTATATGATGACCAGTTTCTTTCAATAGTAACTGAAAATATATTCCTTTTTTAGTTAGTAGATAATAGCAGTCTCCTGTTTTTATGTTTATTACAATATTTATACTCACTTGTATTATAGGAATAACAAAAGACAATGTTTTTCCACTTCCTGTGGGTGCTGAAACACATACATCATGTCTCCATAATCGATTTGATAATGAATGTTCTTGAAGGATAAATGGGATGACTTGAGCTTGTACAGGAAATAAATGTGTTATACCTTCACTATTCAAAATTGATTTCAATGTCTTGTGTAACCAATTTTGGTCCTCTAATGGAAAATATTGGCTCTGTAAATCCCTCGAAACATTGTAAGGATGTGACAGCCAATAGGGTAGTATTCTTTGTACCTATAAACATAAAACATAATGTTATTTAAAGAAAACCATATACAAGCTATACAAATAAGCAATAATCCTAGGAAAAAATTGTCTGGTTTTATATTTGAAAATAATTTTATGAGATCAATTAGGAAAGGGTGTACATGACTTAAATAATAAATTAAGCATTATTTATATAAACATCTTGAAGTCTGGTGTAGTAGTTCAAGACTTCTAGGGTTATCTAGAAAATTATAAATTAAAATAAATCAGAACTTTTCAAAATGTCCCGCAGGCCGGGTGGCACTGTGGACCTAAACCCATACAACCATAGTTAGTGTAAAAAAAAAACAAAGTGCATGTGCCCCAGTAGTAGCAGAGTAAGCTCCACTTTTCTATTCCATGTGAAATATAATGATTCTTACTTTAGGTTTTTTTTCAAAATCGTTTACACCTAAAACTTTGAACTCATGGTGTACATTATTCTTTCCAAGTAGCTTTACATTTGGTTCATCAGAATGTATTTTATCTGGTTCAAAATTATTTATCTTTATGACATCATCATCTTCCTCATTATTATTTATTGTAATTTCAATTGGATTCAGACAGTCCACTGATATTTTAGAATTTAAGTTGACTCTTTTTCTTTCTTCAATATTTTTCTTTAATTTTTCTAGATTTATTCTTTCTTGACTAGCTGTATCTAAATCATCAGGAGTCTCTCTATATCTACAAAGAAAAATATTAAAATGTTAACTATTAAGTGCTATTACACAAGACAATTTACTAATGATAATTGTCTACTTTTTATATATATCATAATCCCTTCCAAAGGTATAGCGATTGTGATAGAGATTTATGGAATTATTTAACTTTCTTAATGAAAAATGCTTAATAAATCCACCTAGTCCCTGGTACTCTGAGATAGGATGATTAAGTATTTTTCATTAGGGAAATTTTTCAGTATAGCTTTATGAATGAAAATTGGATCAAATATAATAATTATTTAAATTGCAGTCTCAATAGCTTTTGAACATAATACATAATAAAAACTGAATTTAACCTGTGGCCTAATTGTCTAATTTTTTAATCTATCACAATCATTTTCAAACGTATAGTGGTTGTGATAGTGGAATTGTGTAACTTTTAAAGTCACAATTGCTTTCGGAACGAATGACGATTTGAATGATACAGAATGTCTTAGATAATTCATTTCTTGTTGTTTTTTAAAGTTGTGCAATAATCTTTACGATTTCGTATGATTGTAATTAATTCGCTTATTTCGACTAAAGAATAAAAATATTTTAGTCATATCAATAAAATATTAGAAATGATTTAAAATTTCATACTTTTGATAAACACAATGTTTTATTTCAACGAAAAACAAACAAAACCATCGTACTATCGCACTAATAAAATGAGCCAAGCGCGTTCCTTTATGTCAGCTCTTCTAGGGATGATCGATACGAGTAAATATAAGTACTTACTCGATATTTTTCTATCGAAATCAAGTACTTATAGCATCGATACTTTAAAACGGAGTAGTAAATAGTATCGTGAAGTAAGAAAGTAAGTGTTTGTATCGGCATTTGGTTGGTCAGTCACTGAAGAGTGTCAAAAACTCGCGAGCATTAGTCTGTTTACACTGTGTTAAGGAACTAAAGTCTATCTTATGAAAAAGGCCAACAAGCGACAGGGACGCTGCCCTGTCCCTGTATGACTAATCATTACTAACCCCTACTAATTTTATGCAGTTAGAGATCTATATAGGGCCAACAAAATTTGAAGCAATACCTAGCCAAATACATTATACCTAAATGCGTCGCTTTTTATATCTAGACCTACTTCTCTTTCTTCATTATACAGAACAAAGCTATTATTGACTATTTAAAATATCAAATCTACTATGAAAAAACTGTAAAAATGATGATGATGGTGAGGCATGTCAAAATTATTTGATACAAGTAGGTATCGATTCCTACGTGGTATTGTTGAATCCCTAAGCTCGTCATATCATCTGTCAGAAAATTCGCATTTCATTTCAAGTTCGAAATATTTATTAAAAATTAAAAAAAATATATTCATAGTAAGTTATAAATGCAAAATAAAAAAAGTAAGTATCCTTAGTATTTTTTCCACCATAACGAGTGATTATGTAATTTCTAGAATAATAACTATGAGCATTATTGGGTTTTAAATTTAATATAAAATATATCCTTAACAAAACTTTCAAAAACATCATCAAAACATACATATCGAAAGATTGCAGTTAGTGTTCAATGCTTTCATTTGACATTACCCAATAGCTTTCAATGGTATTTTTAACCATCAATTTGCTTAGACAATTCCGATTAACGTCAAATGAATGTTATCGTTCATTCAAAATCTTTCAAAAAAATGACACAATCTCATTTGCTTTCACATGTCATTTAGTTGAAGCGTGAAGTTCGAGAATCTATTTCAAATCTCTTTCAAATGGCTTGGAAGTGGATTTCTAACCAAGGATTCTACTATCTACTATAACTGTTGTGATCTGAGGACAAGCAAATTCTGAGGACCTATGGATTAAGCTAGTTTTACCTTTTCTTAAACTTAAGGCAGTAGCAAAAATTAAAAATGGCCACTATATGTGTTTTCTAAAATAACAGTGCATTATTTTGAACCTACTCCCTACTTGTTCTTATCTAGTTAACAATGAACGATTAAAGGCCTCACTAGAACCGAGTATTAGAAATTAAAAGCCAAATTGAATACCTACCTATCTTTAACTGTAACATAATATATATTATTGCTACATCTTCACGCCCGCTGCCTTGCTAGCTGAGATAGTAGTAACAATATATGAATTTAAATAAAAGCTCACCTGTTGATTACAAATAAATCCATATTTATATGCTACACTTAACACCATCAACTTTATTACAGGAAATAAGTTGTTTTAATTAATTTCGTTTCAATTCAGCTAAGTTCTTAGGACACACGTAGGACATAACATCAGATATCCTTGTTCTTTTTTAATTGCACTGCGCGTTTTACAACTTTTGTAAGTTAACGCACTTTAGAAGTAGGTACTACAATACTCTAAAAATAACCTAAAAATGGGAAATAAAAATCGAACTTTACTCTTTGTTAATACTAAGAGTAAAGTTCTTCTTCTTTTTTTTTTTTTGGTTAATTTGTCCCCCTTGTTTGGGACGGGCAAAGGATGTTAGGTCCATACAGCCCTGCCTGGATTTTCTTGATCTTTAAATCTTTTGAATTGTATTTTTGACAAATCTGTATACAGGAACATAACTGTCAATGTTTGATAAGAGTTTTCTTAAGTCGCGCGGGATGGTTTCCTCGTTAAAAATCTTCATTCTTTGTAATTCTTGAAAGAGTATTTTTCTTTGTGCTTTAAATGAGGGACATTTGAAAAAGATATGTTCTAGTGACTGGTTCTCCATGTTGCAGAAGTCACAAATAGGTGAGTTAACAATCTTTAATCGATACAAATGATCTTTGAAAAGGCAATGGCCTATTCTTAATCTGCTTAAGGTAGTGTAAAAATCTCTTGACTTGTAATCACCCTTGTCAAACCATGAGGTACTGATATCCTTCTGAATTTCACCAAGCCACTGTCCTTTTTCTTGCAGAGATGCTTTCCAGTAATCGAGCCATAGTTTTTTTATTTCTTTCTTCAAGTAAGGCATAACATCTGTATAAGGTGTACCAATATCTTTCACGACACATTTGTCATATGAGACTACTGCTTTACAAAGTGTGTCGGCATCTTCATTGCCTTGAACTCCAATGTGAGAAGGTGTCCAAAAAAATGATACAGCAATATTTCTCTGTTGCAAATCTCTTACTTTTATTCTAATTGATTCTATTATATAATTACGATCAGCTCTATAGATGTGGTTTTGCAGTGCACTTAATACACTTTGACTGTCTGATACTATTAACCACTTTTGATAAACATCCTTATTTTCTTCTATATAATGTAATGCTTCTAGAATAGCTGCAGCTTCTGCAGTGAATATGGAAGAGTAATTACTTATTTTTACACCAAAGCCAGTTTTCTTGTATGGGATGTAAATAGCTATACCAGTGGCTGAATCTGTTTTTGAACCATCTGTGTATATTTTTTTAAACTCTGACCATTTATGTAGCTCTCTATACACATCTTGTTTAGTATGCAAATTATTTTCAATGGAGACATGAATTTCAGGGAATTTACAGTCATAGGTACCCCAATAACAAGGCCAGTTAATATATTTTTTTATTGTTTTAAAATAATTGTCATGTAGGTTATTTATATTTAAAGAAATAAAGGGTCTTTCTATGTTGTTCCGAAAGTTGAGAATTTTCACAAGTAATTTATTATTGCACAAAGAAAATAATTTTATAATATATTTGTCCCTCAAATATTGGAATCGAAATTTAAGAGGCTCAATGTTGCATTCGATTTGTATTGAATTAATTGGTGATGAATTCATTGCACCAATAACAAGTCTTAGGCATTTATTTTGAATTTTTTCAAGATTTTCAATAAGTTTATGAGATGTTGAAAAAAATAAGCAACCATATTCAAAATTGCTTCGGACCAGTGATTTATATAGAATTTTTAAGATTTTTGGGTCAGAACCCCATGAAGTTTTCGCTAAAGTTCTTAATATATTATATGCTTTATTAGCTTTATCCATTATAATTGAGACATATGACTTAAATGATAAGTTACTACTAAATTCTATTCCTAAAAATTTAACACTAGTAACTACAGGTAAAATGGAGCTACCAAAAGCTATATTTATGTTGTCTAAAGGTTTATATTTATTAAAAATTACCACTTTGCTTTTTTCCAGACTAATTGTTAATTGTAGTTTGTCAAAGTAGATTTTAAGTCTTGTAGTGGCTTGATTCAATTTTTCTGCAGATTCTTGTATGTTATTTGAGTAACAGTAAATCACTAAATCATCAGCAAACTGTAAATTGGTAACACTAGATCCTAAAACAATATTAAGTCTTCTTATATACAAAATGAATAACAAAGGGCTTAAAATACTTCCTTGACAACTACCTTTAAATGAGTATTTTGGGCCATATAACTTAGAATTATGTTTAACATATACTATTCTGCCATTAATGAAATTATATATCCAATTTATTATTTTTCCAGGTAACCCAATGGAATTTAGTTCAGAGCATAAAATTTGATGATTAATGTTATTAAAAGCTCCAACTATATCGAAAAACACACAGACTAGTGCTTTGTCATCAGAAAAGGCATTGAGGATATCTAAATGGAGATGACATATACTATCACGAGTAGATTTCCCTCTTCTGAAGCCGAATTGATTGTCAGGTAATATTCCATATTTTTCTATATAAAACTCTAGTCTCAGTTTAATCAATTGTTCAAATATCTTTCCTACACATGAAGATAGAACTATAGGTCGATATGAGTCTACTAAGCCAGGTTTCCTATTTGGTTTTAAAATGGGGATGATACAGTCAGTTTTCCAAGATTCAGGGATTTCATTTTGCAACCATAGTGTATTTAGAATGCTTAAGAAAATACTGAGTGAGCTATCATTTAATTCCTTTAACATATGATACGATATCCAGTCCAATCCACAAGCAGTCTCTTTACGTGATTTTAAGGCACATTTAAGTTCTTGCAAGGAGAATCTGTCTGTAATGTACTTATTAGTTTCATTTAAGCTATGTCCAAGTAGAAGGAATGGAGAACGATCTGAATCATTGGCTTGAGTATATTTGTTTAAAAAGGGTGTAATCCACTCATCTGTAATGCTTATATTGTTAGTGAAAGTATTATTAAATTTTCTCATATAATTCCAAATGAACTTAATTGGAGTATTTCTATTAAAAGATTCACAAAGCCTTTGCCAAGCCTTTTTTTGTTCAAGTTTTAGAATAACCTTTTTACGAGCTTGCAGCCTCTTGAAATTGATGTAATTTTCATTTGTAGAATTTTCTTTGAATGAAACGTATGCCTGCTTAGAAGACTGCACTGCATCGTTACATATGCTATTCCACCAAGGGACTGTTAATTTCCGTTTTTTTTTATTATTAAGAAACACCTTGCTACTGTTTTTGGACGTTATTTTTTGAGGGCTAGATTCTTCAATTGCTTCATTTAAAACATCACAGAAACTATTATATGAGTCAATTGCGCTATTGCTTGCTATATAAGATTGTAATTTTTTATTGACTAATGTTGAATATTTTTTCCAGTCTATTAGTTTGAGATTGTAATGGGTAGGTATGTTAGAATTATTGAAGCATGGTTGAAATTCTATTTCAGTTGTTACAGGGAGGTGATAGCTTCCAAGAGGATCATCGTGAACATCCCAATTACAAGACAGAGCAATGGAAGAAGACACTAGAGTGAGATCTATTGCACTTGGACTCCAGCTAGCTGAGCCTACTGTTGTCATCCTACCATCATTTAATAATAACAAATCATTGTTTTCAACTATGTCGCAAATGTCCCTACCACGAGTATCAGTGGAATTACATCCCCACAATGTATTGTGAGCATTTAAATCACCTGCAATCAGCATCGGTTCAGGAATTTGTTTAATTAAGTTATTTAATTTAACCTTAGAGAACCTAGGTGTACTATATGGAGGACAATATATACTTACTATTGATAGATCTGTATTATGAAACCTTATTCTAATGGCAATGTTTTGAATAGAATTATCAGATGTAGTATTTAGAGCTTGATGAGGAATATCATTTCTAATGGCAATTGCAACACCATTGTGTCTATTACCTGAGTCCAATCTAACAACTGTATAGCCTTTTATAGTAAATTTTAATTCTGGTCTTAACCATGTTTCTGACAAAAGAGCTATATGAACATTTTGTTCATATAGAAAATGAATTAGGCAATTTTTATTACATAAAACACTCTGAGCATTCCACTGGATTACCTTTAAAGCCATTATTTACTATTATAAGATGAAACTACTTCTTTTAGAGCCTCTTTAATATTACTGGAATTAGTTAAGCTATTTGTCTTAATTTTAATTAAACTTTGTACAAGAATATTTACAATATGATCATTTTCTAATAATTTTATTAAATCTTGTTTGAAATCATTAGTTTTTTTATTTGGTAATGGTGGAAATTGTTTTGTATTTACTATATCAAAATAAGTTACTGGATTGTTGATCTTTTTTTTGTTTTCAATTATTTTTTGCTTCTTAATGGGACATATTTTATCAATAGCAATATGACTGCCTTTACAATGAAAGCAATATAAGACTGGACTTGTACATTCCCTGTAATTGTGATTGTCACCACACTTTGAGCAACGTGCTGCATTCTTGCAAAAAGCTGCTGTATGGCCATATATTAGACAATTAAAACATTGTTTAATAGGTGGAATGTATTTCCTGACTGGAAAGAGCCATGAATTCAACTCTACAGATTCTGGTAAGCTAGTCGAAGCGAACGTAATTGAAATTGTCTGGGTTGGCGACAGCGCCACGACACCGTCGTCACCCTTTACTTTACGCATAAATCTGCGAATAGATATAATTTTTTTTGAACAAGTAAGATGTTTGTATAGTTTGAAATTGCTGTAATCAGTAGGTACACTCGTTATAACACCAATTTGTTCAGATGCTGACGCTGGTATGGACGCCTGTAATCTATGTTGCATGAAAAAATCTTTATTTTGAAGTGCTGCATTAGCCATGGCCGGTTTATCAAAAATAATCCCAAATTTATATTTATTTATTCTTTTAAATTGTTTAATACCCTTTATATTTCTTTGGAATATGTTCGATAGGTACATTAAGTCTCTATTGCCTATTGGTTTTGTGTCATCAGTGCTCGATATGAAAACTATGAACTCAGCATCGCCTGCATTTTCAGAATATGACCGAACGTAATTTGATAGTAAAAAAGGTTTATACTTAGACGCAGATTCTTGTTCTATGTCATCGAAAGTAGAATGATGTTCCGAAGATGACGA